GTTACTTTTTACAACCACTGATTGTGTATCTGACTTCTCTATTGTATAGGCCGTGTGAGGCATACATTTGCATTTCCTCTTACTATGACGTAAACCAGAGCCAAGAAAGTGTATTTATTCCTGGCCTTTGAAAAATAAAATTTGCTGTTTAGGCAAAGCCTATCAGCCCTCCAGACGCCTCGCTTTCTCTCTGTCTTTATTAATTTTCCAGGCACACTCCCTCTTCCAGGTATTGGGACTCTCTTGCAGGTCGAGAGACCCCGGGCAGACGTGCCTACCCGTCCCGGACGGTCCACGACAGCTCATGCCCGTAATCCCAGCACTTCGGGAGGAAAGCAGATGGATCACCTGAGGTCCGGAGTTCCAGACCAGCCTGGCCAACATGGTGGAACCCTGGACCCTACTAAAAACAAACAAACAAATAAACAACAGCTGGGCGTGGTGGCACATGCCTGTAATCCCAGCTACTTGGAAGTCTGAGGCACAAGAATCCCTTGAACCTGGGAGGCGGAGGCTGCAGCGAGCCTAGATTGTGCCACTGTGCTCCCGCCTGGGCGACACAGCAAGACTCTGTCTCAAAAAAAAAAAAAAAAAAAAAAAAGGGTGTGGGCTCTGGCCTGGGATCCCAGTTTCATGTCTAATCAGCTGTGTGGCCTTAGAACAATCACTTGTTCTATCCGAGCCCCTGGATCCTCAGCATAAGATAGAATGATGATGGTGACTCGTACCGCGTGTGGCTGTCGGGAGCGATCTGTGAGGGGATGCGTGTGAAGCACGGGGCTGAGGGGGGGTTAATACATTCTGGCTGTTCTTGGCAGTTGCCCCTGGAGCGACCAGGAGCCTGTAGGGGATCTGAGCCTGTAAGTGACATGGGCACTTGTCCTGAGTACATCTCACAATGGCGGGCTCAGCGCCTTCCCTCTCTATTTCCTTACTTGTTCAAAGAGAAACTGGACTAAGGCTGAGGAAAAATCTTCAAATGCCTCCAGGAGTGGAGTGGCAATTTAAATGAGGGAGGGTGGTGCCGGGGAAGGCTGCAGGGCGTGGTGAGGACTGCAGTGCCCAGGGGCCCCGTGTCCCACCCCTGGGAGCAGCCTCCTCTCAGCGCTGCAGCGGTAGCCATGTGGAAGTGAGCCCAGCCTGGTCAGAGAAGCAGACTTCTCAAGAGAGGGAAACCCACGCTTCTGTGGGAAAACCTCCCATTACTAATGTTAGCAATGCATTAATTTTTTTTTTTTTTTTTTTTTTTGAGACGGAGTTTCGCTCTTGTTACCCAGGCTGGAGTGCAATGGCGCGATCTCGGCTCACCGCAACCTCCGCCTCCTGGGCTCAGGCAATTCTCCTGCCTCAGCCTCCTGAGTAGCTGGGATTACAGGCACGCGCCACCATGCCCAGCTAATTTTTTGTATTTTTAGTAGAGACGGGGTTTCACCGTGTTGACCAGGATGGTCTCGATCTCTTGACATCGTGATCCACCCGCCTCGGCCTCCCAAAGTGCTGGGATTACAGGCGTGAGCCACCGCGCCCGGCGCAATGCATTAAATTTTTTTATTATTTTTTTGAGATGGAGTCTCGCTCTGTAGCCCAAGCTGGAGTGCAGTGGTGTGATCTTGGCTCACTGCAACCTCTGCCTCTCAGGTCCCAGTTCAAGCAATTCTCCTGCCTCAGCCTCCCGAGTAGCTGGGATTACAGGCATGCACCCCCATGCCCAGCTAATTTTGTATCTTTAGTAGAGACTGGGTTTCACCATGTTGGTCAGGCTGGTCTTGAACTCCTGACCTCATGATCTGCCCGCCTTGGCCTCCCAAAGTGCTGGGATTACAGGCTAAATATTTTTTTTTTTTAATTGTACTTTCAGTTGTGGGGTACACGTGCAGATCTTGCAGGATTGTTGCATTGGTACACACATGCCATGGTGGTTTGCTGTCTCCATCTCCCCGCCCCACGTCATCTACATCACGCATTTCTCCCAGTGTTATCCCTCCCCAACTTCCCCACCCGCCCCCTGCTGTCCCTCCCCTAGTCCTCCGACCCCCAACATACCCCAGTGTGTGATGTTCCCCTCCCTGTGACAGGCTAAATATGTTTTTAAAGTATCACGTGCGGGGCCAAGCTAATGCTTCTGTTGGCAGTGGCTGCCATGACCAGTAGGTGACTTTGTCTTCAGGTAAGCTGGGGAGTCACAGAAGGGCTGTGAGCAGAAGCAGCTTGCGTTCCAGGCCGGGACCATCCCTCAGCCCTATCTATGACCGTCCCTTCCCTCCGGAGGTGGGATGCCAGACCCTCTCCTTGCTGACACTCTTTGGAGCAGTCTGCCTGATAGGGGCTGTAACGAGGCCCCAGCTCAGTGCTATCTCACAGGAGGTGCCAGGGAGTCTGGGGGAGCCTGGCTGCACCAGACGGGGTCTGCTCTGTGTCTGGGAATGGCAGGTCTGGCCCGTACTGCTGGAGGTGGCTCTTGAAACTGGTGTCAGTGAGGGCCTGGCTCCTGCAGCCTAGCTCTTCAGGGTCAAAGGGCAGCACTTTCAGCCTTTTCTGGGGCCAACTTCCTATTTGGGAGAGAAAGCAGACAGGTTCCTGGCAGGAAATGACCTTCTTCCCAAAGCCCTGTTTTCCACTGGAGCTGGCTTTTATGAACAAGCCACAAAGGGGGAGTCTCCATGGTTGTCTCAGTCCCTCCATCCCCCTCAGAGCCCAGGGACCTCTTTGCCATGCATCAAACCCACCTCGCTAACATCATTAATTTAGTCTTGTCAACGGGAAAGTTTTCAGTGCCCATGTTTAGCAGCACCCAGCTGGGCTCCTGGGTCTGCTTCTCCCCTCTTTTCAGTCCCCAGGGCTCCTGGTGACCCCAAGACCCAGCACCAGGTGTCCCTGGTGACCCTGGGACAGCTCTGAGCACTGCAGCATCAGGGCACCCTCTTAACTAGGCCATGCCAAGAGAGAAAATCATTTAATGTAGCTCTCCCATCCCCAGCAGGCAGCCCCTTTATCAACTGAATTGAATTCATCTTTGGTGCCAGGCTGGAGCCCTAGCCTTTCCTTGCACACACACCCGGAAACACAGGGAGCTCACCACCTTCTGCATGCTGGAACAATTCTGGCAATGCTTCCTTCTGCAGAAAGCAGGCCTGGGTGCTGAGAAATCACCTTAAGGGCCCCATCAGAAGAGCAGATGCCCTGAAAGCCACCTTGACTGTGAAAGATCAAAAGTGTATGCTGCTGTGTTTCCTTTTTTAAATTTTTTAAACAATCCTTAGCCGGGCACGGTGGCTCAAGCCTGTAATCCCAGCACTTTGGGAGGCCGAGGCGGGTGGATCACGAGGTCAAGAGATTGAGACCATCCTGGTCAACATGGTGAAACCCCGTCTCTACTAAAAGTGCAAAAAATTAGCTGGGCATGGTGGCACGTGCCTGTAATCCCAGCTACTCAGGAGGCTGAGGCAGGAGAATTGCCTGAGCCCAGGAGGCGGAGGTTGCGGTGAGCCGAGATCGCGCCATTGCACTCCAGCCTGGGTAACAAGGGCGAAACTCCGTCTCAAAAGAAAACAAACAAACAAACAAACAAAAAAAAACAATCCTGCTCTGTCACCGTGGCTGGAGTGCAGTGGTGTGATCTCAGCTCAGTGCAACCTCTACCTCCCGGGCTCAAGTGACTCTTTTGCTTCAGCCTCCCGAGTAGCTGGGATTACAGGCGTGCGCCACCATTCCCGGCTAATTTTTGTATTTTAGTAGAAACATGGTTTCACCATGTTGGTCAGGCTGGTCTTGAACTCCTGACCTCAGGTGATCCACCCGCCTCAGCTTCCCAGAGTGCTGGTATTATAGGCCTGAGCCACTGCACCCAGCCTGCTGTTTCTAATCACTGTTTCCATCAGATTTAACATAAATCTGCTGGTCATAGAAGGTACATAAATTAAATATTAAAAATAAAACTGCCTATAATTTCGCTACCTAGGGCAGGGTGGAGGAAAAAAGAAAAGGGTTTGTTCTTTATTGTGTCCACACCTACCTCTAGGTAAATTTCCATCAATCACCTGAACTCTATCCCCTGCTCCCATCTGGCAAATCCCTCCTCTCTAGGGAAAACTGTTAGGTATTTAATACAACTAACCTTTACTGAGCTCTGGGTTACCCTATCGAATTCTTGTGACAGCTCTGAGACATTTTATAGATGAAGAAAATGAGGCTCAGAGAGGGTAAGTAATTTCCCAGAGGTTGCACAGCTAATAAGGGGCAGAGATGTGAATCCATTGGGTGCTGGAATGGAAGTCTCCTCTAGAGCAGACATGCACTGTACCTTCTCCCTCCTTGTCACAGGAGTGGATGCCAGACTGCTTAGCAGCTCGGAATGTTCATTATGTTCATTCATTCATTCTTTGTAGGTTTTTTTTTTTTTTTTTTTTTTTTGAGACGGAGTTTCGCTCTTGTTACCCAGGCTGGAGTGCAATGGCGCGATCTCGGCTCACCGCAACCTCCGCCTCCTGGGTTCAGGCAATTCTCCTGCCTCAGCCTCCTAAGTAGCTGGGATTACAGGCACACACCACCACGCCCAGCTAATTTTTTGTATTTTTAGTAGAGACGGGGTTTCACCAAGTTGACCAGAATGGTCTCGATCTCTTGACCTCGTGATCCACCCGCCTCGGCCTCCCAAAGTGCTGGGATTACAGGCTTGAGCCACCGTGCCCGGCAGGTTTTTTTTTTTTGAGACCGAGTCTTGCTTTGTCGCCAAGGCTGGAGTGCAGTGTGCAATCTCAGCTCACTGCAACCTTCACCTCCTGGCTTCAGGCGATTCTCCTGCCTCAGCCTCCCGAGTAGCTGAGATTACAGATGCCTATCACCACACTTGGCTAATTTTTGTGTTTTCAGTAAAGATAGGGTTTGGCTATGTTGCCCAGGCTGGTCTCGAACTCCTGGGCTCAAGCGATCTACCCACCTTGGCCTCCCAAAGTACTGGGATTACAGGTGTGAGCCACTGTGCTTGGCCTCATTCATTCTTGTTCACATTCATTCATTTATTAAGTTACTCGACATTCCTGACCTCAGGTGCAGCGTCAGCTGCAGGCTGATGCCGTGGCCCCCACCCCCCGCCTACATCTGCCACACTTCCAGATGCCCCACAAACTTGAACTTCATTTATTACAAAGAACTGTGTTCACTGCACTGTATTATGAACAGCAAGGCTTAGAGAGGTAGCCCAGGCTGGGGCCCCCAACAAGCTACCCCAACATGCCCAGTCCTGCATGAAGTCCTGGGTGGGTGGGGTCACCTGGGCTGGGCCTTGGAGCTGTCCTGTATTTATGAAACCAAATGGGTCCAAAGACTCCTAGGCATATACATATATATGTGAACAGAGGCTTGCTTTCCACAGGGCATTGGTAGGTGGGACTGTCGACGCCATCCCTGGGAGAGAAGAAAGTCGGCTGTGGTGGGGACTGGTCCCAGAGTAAGCCGAGACGCTGCATCGGTTTGAGTGTCTGGTTAGCCTGGACCCTGGGCAGGTGAGGGGCGGCTCATATTGCCCAGCCACAGGAAACTCTAGGCCACCTGGATTTGCAGGTCCTCATCCTCGTCCAGGTCGCTGGCTCCATCCCCGGCCTCCTCAGTGCCAAAGCGAGCACTTCGGATCTTCCCAAAGAGAGGAGCATTCTGCTGCTGCCTGCGGAGCCTGCGGGGTGGAGGTGACGAGGGTTAGAGCAGCAGCCTGGCCTGCAGTCCCTGATAAGGTGGCTGCAGCTGGTGCTGGGGCAGCTAAGCCTTCCCTGGCACGTTCCCCGCTGTCTCATCTCCTGTAATCTCCTTATATGATGGAGGTGCCGTTATCACCCCCATTTTACAAGCAAGGAAACCGAGGCACAGAAAGGTGAAGTAATTTGCTCAAAGTCACACAGATGGTGGGGGGGGGGGCGGTGTGCAGAGCTTTGAATTGAAGTGGATGGTACCAGAGCAGCTGGGCACTTAGAGGTAAAGGAGCTGGCTCAAGGTCACGCTGCGGGATTTGAACTCAAGCCTGGCTCTCAGAGCACAGGCAGCAGAGTGGGTGGTGGCAGCAGTGGGGGGTGGGCTGAGGCCTCTACATTCCCAGTGTCAGGGAGAAAGGGCTCAGCCCTAGTTCTTCCTCACATTAAAATTCCTAAAGTCAGGATTTACGAGGCAAACTTTGACTCTAAGAAGAGCTGGTGGAGGAGACGTGCATCCCTCCACGCCACCCCGCAGCAAAGTGGCCGCCCCGGCTGCATCTTACTGGAAGGTATGAATTATTAACACGGCAGGGAGGGGTGCAGGCGGGGCCTCCATTACTGCACAGTGATTTAGTGAGCTGTCCCCGGAACATTAAAGCACAAAAAGTTGGAAAATAAAACGACACAGCGGTCCTGGGCGGCCCCGCCCTCCCCGATGGAAGCACTTGAGAGGCCCCGCAGAGCCTGCCTGCCCACTTCTGGAGTTTATGGCTCCTGAACAATGTGACCCAGACTACGGGAAAGCCCCAAGGCTAAGTGGCCTTTTGAAGGGTGTATGCTGCGGGGTCAGAATGGGCAGAGTCAACCAGGCACCCGACCTGCCTTCGACTCACGCCTGGGCCCCTGCAGAACACTTTATGGGCATCATCCCAGGTAGAGGGGGAAATCGAGGCTCAATTGACCATGCGCAATAGCTGTTAGGTCTCTGCAGCCCATACCGTAAGCCACAAGACCTCAGCAAACAGCAGCAAATAGTAAATGCTCAGTAAATAAGGGTTTGGATGGCTGATGGCCAGGGGTGATTCTGCCTGGCCACCCACCAACTGGGTAGCCATGGAAAGACTTCCCCTCCTGGGCCTTAGTTTCCTCATCTGCCAGCCCGCCAGGGAAAAACATCTCTCCTTTCCTTTCTCTCACAGGAGCAGCGTGATGCCGAAGCACCATATGCAACCCAAATATAAGCCCCTCCCTCGCAGTAGTAGTAATGGTTTAAGTAGTAGCAGCAGCTGCTGACAATTACTCGGCATTTATTATGTGCCAGGTGTTTTCTTTCTTCTTTGAGACAGAGTCTCACTCTGTCTCCCAGGCTGGAGTGCAGTGGTGTGATCGTAGCTCACTATAGCTACAAACTCCTGAGCTCAAGTGATCCTCCTGCCTCGGCCTCCCAAGTAGCTGGAACTACAGCCACACACCACCACGCCTGACTAAGTTTTGCACTTTTTGTACACATGGGGTCTTGCTCTGCCCAGGCTGGTCTCGAACTCCTGTTCTCAAACAATCCTCCTGCCCTGGCCTCCCAAACTGCTGGGATTACGGGCGTGAGCTACCATGCCCGCTCCAGGTACCTGTCACAAGAATGGATCAGCCCATTTAATGCTCACAATCAAGAGGTAAGAACTATCACCATCCCCATTTTACAGATGAAGAAACTGACACAGAGAGGTTAAGTAAGTGTCCCAATGCTACACAGCTGCTAATGCTAAGCCAGGCTTTGCACCATTCAGGCAGTCTGGCTGCAGAGCCGGGCACCCTCAATTCCACGAAAGAAGAGAATCAAGGAAGGGCTTTCTCAGGGCCGGGCAGCACAGGTCCACGTGGTGGCTATGAGGCTCCTTGGGCCTCCCAGCTGTGCAGTGGGAGGGTCTCGGAATGTAGTTCTCTGATACTGTCTGGCTCTGTGATTCAAACACACAGAGGGGGTCGGGAGAAAGAGGCAGACTGCTGGGTGGGGCCTGCTGGCAGCTGAGGGGATCCAGGCCTGGGGTCCTTCTTTCCCTGCCCACCAATCTCTCAGATCCTTGCTGTCCTGGTGTCACCTAGGCCCAGTAACCCTGATGGCTGCTTAGCTGCTTTTTATTCTAGTCGGTGACTCCCAAGGCCTGCTGGCCCCGCCCCTTGGTCCCGACCTCTCCGGGCCCGCCCTTCCACTAGAGGAGACAATTCCAGGGCCTGCAGCTGGCCTGACTTCCTGCATCCCCTGCCCTGGTTTCCTGGCCCTGGCCCTTCCTGTCCGGAGGGGACAGGATTCCGGCTCCAGGCACCTGGATCTCTTCCTTCTCTGTCTCCCCCTTCAGACCTGGTTTGGACTCCACCCCTGACTGGAGCGTTCCCTGGCTGGACATCTCTGTCCAGTTTCTGCTCCCTGCCCCGGGGCCCACCTGGACTGCAGGTGCTCCAGCTGCACTTGCAGGTTCTCGCTCTGCTCCGTCTGTTCGTCCAGCGACCGCTGCAGCTTACGTGCCTGGTTGTGGGCCTCATCCAGCTGCGGGGTGAGCAGGGCCGAAAGCATGAGGGTCACCCATTACTGGGCAAGGCCGGCCACCCACCCAGGGCCAACCACTCCTACTGCTGTTCCCTGGGAACGTGCTTCTCCGAGGGCGTTTGCTCCTTGAAGCCTCGGCTTAGGCTCACCTCCTCCAGAGAATAGCGTCCCTTCTGGTCCCCTCCAACCCTTTTGCCCCCTCTTGCACATCTACGCATCCTCCCAGGCCTGCACCACAGCCATCCACCTCCTATCCTTCCATCCCCATCAGTCGGTGATCTGACCACTTATCCAGGGAGATATTCATCTGCCCATGGAGACAATCACCCTACCACTCCCCATCCATTCATTCTAATCAGCTGCCCATCCAGCATGCCTAGCCACGCCTTCCTGCTCTCCTGGACACACCCATCTTCCCATCAACCTGGCCTTCTTTCTCCCTCTCCATTCATTCTTTCACCCACTGACCCAGTCAGCTGTTCATCCATCTGTCCACTGTCTACCCATCCAGCCATCATCTGTTCATATATCCACTGGAGCCATCCATCCATCCACCCTCCCACCTATTCATCCATCTGCCCGCCCTGCCCCTCTCTCCCATTCATCCATCCACTCATTCCTTCATCCTTCTGTTCATCCATGCACACATCCAACTTATCTTGTTCATTTTTCTTCCCATCCTCCCACTCACATGTCTACCCTGCCATCCAGCCATTACCCACCTACCCATTTTACCCTGGGCACCTCCTGAGAGCCAGGCTTGTGCCAGGCACCAGGGGCTGAGAATGGAGAAGCCAGGAGGGCCCTGCGGCCCCCACTCCTCCCCAGCCGAGGTCAGTGATTGCCACTGCCCCTGCCCCTCCATGGTCCTCACCTCGTCCTCAGCCTGGGCCAGCTCTTTCTTGAGCTCCTCCACCCGCAGCCGCAGCTTCTTCACCTCAGCCTCGTGCTGCTCCACGCGCCGGTTGGCATGTGCCAGCTCTGCCACCTTCTCCTGGAACTGCTTCTTCAGCTTGCCATGCACATGCTTCAGGTCTGCCAGCTCCTGCAGGGCACAGGGAAGGGGTGGGAGGGAGCGGGGATCAGTATCAGCTTGGGCACCATGCCGGGGAGTCTCATGAGGTCAGGCAGTTCTAGGGATGCTGGGTGTCTCTTCCTCCCAGAATCTCTCCATCTGCTGTCTGAGTATCAGCATTAGAGGTTTGGCTGAGCGGCCAGAGGCTGGAGGTGTCTTCTAGAAAGGTGAGGAGGCTGGGTGTGTGGAACCCTTGGCTCTAGTTTGGATGTGTAATTTTCAGATGCTACTGGATCTGCCCTGGGGCTGTTGGAGCAGAGTTGGGATTTCTGGGGAAGGATGAGGTCTGGAGTCTTCAGTGGCATATACATGATGTTGAAAGTCCTGGGTTGGGAATGAGCTAGGCTGGAGAGTGTGGATGGGTGTCTCAGAGGCCAGAGTGGTTGCGAAGAGAAGGGGCAGCCAGCAAAAGAGGTGCCCACCCTGGAGCTCTGTGAGTTCTCTGAGCCTCAGTTTCCACATCTGTAAAATGGGAATAGATATCACCTAAAGGTCTCTTGAGTCCATCCTTTTAGTTCCATCTCTACTGATGGCAACCTGGTCCAGGTCTCCTCCCTCTCTTGCTGCCCAGGGAATGGCAACAGCTTCCCCCTAGCCTGCCTTCCTATCCTCTGCCCACACAGCCTGCTCAAACTCCCCGCCTGCTTTAAACTCTCTCAAGGGGGCCCACCACTCCTGCCTCACCCACCACGTCCCCTGGCGCACTGTCCCCCCACCCACACTGGCCTTCTTGTTCCTCCAAAGCTGTGTCTCTCTCGCCATGGATCCTTATTCATGCTTTTACTAAGTTCTCTCCATCCCCTCCCCTTAGTCTACACACTACCAGTTAATGGCTGCTTTTCCTGCAGAATTTAGTGTATTTATTATTATTATTTTTTTGAGATGGAGTTTCACTCTGTTGCCCAGGCTGGGGTGCAGTGGTGTGACCACAGCTCATTGCAACCTCTGCCTCCTGGTTTCAAGCGATTCTCTTGCCTCAGCCTCCCAAGTAGCTGGGGTTACAGGTGAGCGCCACCACACCCGGCTAATTTTTGTATTTTTAGTGGAGATGGGGTTTCGCCATATTGGTCAGGCTGGTCTTGACCTCCTGACCTCAGGTTATCCACCCACCTCTGCCTTCCAAAGTGTTGGGATTACAGGCGTGAGCCACTGTACCCGGCCGAGAACTCAATTTAAAAGGTCACTGCGTCTGGGAGGCATTTCCAGGACCGTGGGCCTAAGTCAGGTCTCCTGGTATTCCCTTTTCTTGCTGGTGACCATGAAGCTGTATGACTGGCATGAAGCCGTGTGACAGAGCCACGTGTACATCCCCCAAGTAAGCCTTCAGCTCCACGAGGGAAGGGGGGTGGCCACACCTGTCTGTTCAGTGCTGTGTTCCCAGCACCTAGAGTGGAGTCTGGCACACAGTAAGTGCTCAATTAGTGCGGCTACTATAATTACCAAGTGGCCTAGCACACCAGGTGCTCAATACATGCAGCTACCATAATTATCACCAGGCCTGGCACATAGTAGGGAGGCTGCACTCTGGCTGGATGGGGGGTGGCAGCCCCAGCACTGGCCACTCTGCTCCTTGCCCCACCTTGTTCTTCTCAAAGAGCGCGGCCTGGCTGGCCCTCAGGTCGCAGTCCAGTGCGCTGGCTGTTTGCCGCCGCCGCCGGGCCAGCGCCTCCTCCAGGTCCCCGACCTGTGCTCGCAGCTTCTTGTTCTCTCGCTCGAGGCCCAGCTTCTCTGTCTCCAGCCGCTCCCGGCGGCCCCACTCCGCTGCGTTCTCGGCCTGTAGCCGCTCCATCTGCAGCAGGGCAGGGCAGAGTGAGGACTCCCAGGGGAGGGGGCATGCAGGGCCTGAGCTGGACGCCCCCGCCACCTCCTGGAGCCATTTTTGGCTCCAGGAAGCAGATCCAGCTGCGTTGGCTATAATTAAGCTGGGCTCATTTCATGGTTGTGCAGGATGTGAGGGCGCTTCTGGTTTCTGCGTGGGAGAGGGGCCTGCCTCCTGCAGATCGGGACACCCTTGGATGTGGCTGGCCCCCCTGAGAGTACAGGTCTGGCCCCTGCCCTTTTCCCAGTGACCTGCTGATGGAGGCAGGGCCTCAGGGCCCCAAAACCCAGGTCCTCCTGTGTCCCATCCACGGCCTCACCTCGCCCCTCAGCTCGGCCATCTTCCGGTCCATGCTGGAGCGTGCACCGAGCTCATCCTCCAGGTCCTCGGACATGCGGCCCAGCTCATCCTGGTGCGCCTCCTTCAAGATGCTGAGCTGCAAGGGTAAGGCCCCACCTGGTCATGAGAACCACCAGGATACAGCCTGGAATCAGCGCCGGGGGTGGGCACCAGTGCAGGGGGGCTCGGCGCGGAGCCTGAGGCAGCGGCCAAATGGGGCAGGCACCAGGTGTTCCGAACAGACCGATCTGACCACCTCCGCTCCTCCTCACGTCTCTCCTCATTACTGTCTAGCCTCCCAGCGTCTACTCCAGCCCTTCTCTGTCAACCCATTTTCCACAACGGCAGCTCAGAGGGAGCTTTTAATGCAGATGAATGCAATCATACCACCCTCCTTCCTCCTTCCACAAAGCCTCTCTGACGGCTCCCAGGTGCCTTAGGGTATAGTCCAACTCCTCTCTATGGTCTCACAAAGCCCTGCACGGATGGACACCTACCCACCTCTCTCCCCTTAGTTCACGGTATTCCAGGCACCATGGACTCCCTTCTATTCCTCAGACGCACCAAGTTCCTGCCCACCACAGGGCCTTTGACCGTGCATGGAACATTCTTTCTGAGACACTTTGTAGGACTGATTTTTCTTATTCTTAGGCCTTGACCTAAATGCCCCCTCCTTAGGGATGCCTCTCCTGTCCACCTGGCCTGGAGGAGGGGCCTCCTCATCCCACTCCCCACTGGAAAGCTAGCTGGGAGGACGGGGGGCTTGTGTGTCTGTCCACATTTGTGTCGTCGTATGGCCTGGGCACAGGGCAGCCCTCAATGTACAGTGACTGATCCATTCTGCACACAGGTGCATCGGAATTGCCTGGGATGCATTTAAGACAATACAATTCCTTGCGGTATATGGCAAACCCGACAAACTGCTGCTCCCTGCAACACTTGGATGAGTTTTCAGCACATAATGTTGAGGGAGCGATGCCAGATACAAAAGAGGACCTTTATGATTTTCTGCTAAATTGTACATTCGTGTTTCATTTGCTTTTCTTCAAATGATTATACTTCACAATTTGAAAAGACTAAAAAAGACAGGATCCTGGACCCAACCCCAAAAGGTGCTGATCCAGGAGGGCGGAGGTGGGGTCTGGGAATCTGTATTTTCGGAGATTTCCTAAGAGAGTCTCATGTAAGATCAGTTTCGGTCCTCTCCAGGACGGAGTTTCAGGCTCTAAAGTTCTGTGATCCTCCCAGCTGCTAGAAACCCACAGATCCAGCGTGGCGTTCCCTGGGTGGCTGCGCCCTCTGGCGGCCACCGAGGCCTGCACAGGACGCAGTAGTGGCAGCTCAGCATGCTCTCAGCCCCCACACTGCAGTGGTGGATTCTCTTCTCCGGAGCCTCAGTTTCCCCATCTGTAAGATGCCGACATGAGGACTCGGCTTCCCGGACTGCCATGAGGCTTCAGTGACACCTGGTACAGACTAGGAACCCAATGAACGCCACATCCAGACTCCTCCTCTTCATCCTGGTCTACAAGGCACCCTCTCACGGCCTCGCCTCTCACTTCCTGCTCTCCAGCCCCCTGGCCCTCCCTGTTTCCCACTCACGCTGGGTTTGCTCCTGCCTCGGGACCTTTGCACCGCTGTGCCTTCTGTCAGGAACACTCTCTCCGTATCTTCTCAAGGACGGCTTCCTCTGGCCCCTTTAGGTCTTGCCTCAAATGCTACCTTTTTAGAGAGGCCTTCCCTGACCCACCACCCCATCTCTCGTTCTGTTCTGAGGCCTTCGTAACTCATGAATCTGCCTGGTGACTGTCCGTCTCCCCTGCCCACAGCCCCTACAAAGTGAGCTCCTGTAGGCAGGGACCTTGCCTGCCCAGCACTAGAACAACTGTCAAATAAATGAGGCCAGGCACAGTGGCTCACACCTGTAATCCCAACACTTTGGAGGCCGAGGCAAAAGGATCACTTGAGGTCACAAGTTCAAGACCAGCCCGGCCAACATGGTGAAACCCTGTCTCTACTAAAAATACAAAAATTAACTGAGCGTGATGGTGGGCACCTGTAATCCCAGCTACTTGGGAGGCTGAGGCACGAGAATTGCTTGAACCTGGGAGGTAGAGATTGCAGTGAGCTGAGATCACGCCATTGCATTCCAGCCTGGGCAACAGAGTGAGACTGTCTCAAAAAACAAAACAAAACAAAAACAGAAACAAAAAAAAAAAACAACTGTTGGATGAATAAAGGAATGAATTCTCTCTTCCATCCCCACTACTGAAATTCAACAGTGTGATCCTGCCGCCTCCAGGAAGCCCCTCTGGTCTTCCAGACTCACCTGCTTGAGCATCTCCTGCTTGGTCTTGCTCAGCTCCTCATACTTGATCTTCCACTGGCTGAGCTCCCCCTCCAGCTTCTCAATGTTCCTGCTCAATGCCAGTTTATCCCTAGGGAAGGGCAGACACGGGGGTGAGCCCACAGAGGCCCTCTGCTCAGAGTCCTCACCAAGGGTGGCCCTGCAGTGTGCCCTCTGCACCTGTTGAGCCCACGTCCAACATCTCTGCCTTGGTATTCAGGCCCTAGCACCCTACATGGCTGTAAGCACCCTGGCTTGGCAGTTCTCCTGGAACTGTACTCCCTAGAGGTGGTCGGGGCTCCAGAACACTGAGCATCCCCAGGCAAGTACCTCTCTCTTGTTGAGCCCCAGGCTCATCTGTCTAAGAACACCCTGATCCTGTCTGTTTTGCAGACTATGTTCCCAGCAAGGCTTGGTTTGAACACATGCTTCTGCAGATAGAAACACTGGAAAACACTGTCCAGTGACTCAGAGAGAGGGTCCTCTCTTGCCATCATTACTGCATGGGATCCCCACAACTTCCTGTTACCCCCACCCTGCCTTGAACTTAAATGAGTCCCTGTAGGTAACAAGCACGATGCCTGGGCCTGGCACACAGTAGGTGCTTGCCAACGGCTGAGCTCAGCACCACCTTCCAGCATCCTGTGCTTCAGGACCCCACACCACACTGGCCTCTCTTTTTGAGACTGAAACATTCCATGGCTCCAACATGGGGTTCCCAGAGGGGATAACACCACCCTCTAGGAGGTATGTTGGAAATCCATGGGGACGTTTTTGGCTATCACAACCATTAGGGGTCATTTAGCGGATGGGGGCCAGGGTACCTGACTCCCTGCAATGCCCTGGGCATCCTGCATCCTACTGAAAGCATGCACAGCTCACTGGACATTGCTGGGGGTGGAGATGATCTCAGCCTAGAGCCTCATTCTGATCTACATCGAAACAGAAAGTCGTTTTTATACTAACACACACTGAATGTTCCAGAAATGGAACCACTGTATAAAGTGAGGGAAGACTGTACTTTTCTTTGTTTTTGGAAACAGGATCTGGCTCTGTTGCTCAGGCTGGAGTGCAGATCACAGCTCACTCCCAGGAACTGCACTCCCTCCCTAAGGGAAAGTGCTCAGCTCATACTGCGGGAGGTGCTCAGAGCTCCAGAGCACTGGGCATCTCCGGGCAGGTACCTCCCTCCTGCTGTGCCCCAGGCTCATCTGTCAGAGACCACCCGGTTCCTGCCCGTTCACAGCTCACTGCAACCTTGAACTCATGGGCTCAAGCGATCCTGCCACCTTGAGCTACCAAAGTGCTGAGATTACAGGCATGAGCCACTGTGTCCAGCTGCACTTTCTTTGCTCAGAGCTTCACCAAGGGCTGTTCATCCTTCAAGAAACCTCATCACCACAGTGACACCACTTGGTTTTTGGGTTGCTAACTCTGCACACCTGCATGACTGCCTTTGTAGCTGTCCTGCAAGGTGACCTAAATGCGCAGATACATGTAAGCCCTCAGCACGGCACGTGACTCGGAGCACGTGCCATGTGTTTGCTGTTATAACTATTGTCACTACCATTCCATTTAAAGACGCCCACTCTGACCCCTTCATCATTTCTTCTAGAGGAGCTATTCCCAAACACTTCCACATCACAACATGTGTATTTTAAGTCACTTTCAGTTTGGGTGCTGTGACTTAACGCCTGTAATCCTAGCACTTCGGGAGGCCAAGGCAGGTGGATTGCCTGAGCTCAGGAGTTCAAGAGCAGCCTGGGCAACATGGTGAAACCCTATCTCTACTAAAATATAAAGAATTAGCTGGGTGTGGCAGTGTGTGCCTGTAGTCCCAGCCACTTGGGAGGCGGCATGAAAACTGCTTGAACCAGAGAGACGGAGATTGTAGTGAGCCAAGATCGTGCTACTGTACTCCAGCCTGGGCAACAGAGCAAGACTCTGTCTCCAAAACAAAGTTACTTCCATTTCTACTTTTTATTTAAGTAAGTGCACTAAGTTGATTTTTTGTTTGTTTGGCTTAAACAGGCGAGATTTATTTCTAGAGGCTAGAAGTCCAAGATCAAGTTGAGTTGGTCCTCTGAGGGCTGCGAACGAGAATCCGTTCCATGCCTCTCCCCCAGCTTCTGGCAGTTTGCTGGCCATCTGTGGTCATTCCTTGGCCAAAGATGCAACAGTGTCCACAGAAGCATCCCTTGACCTCTGCCTATATCTTCACAGAGGCATTATACTGATTTTTTTTTTTTTTTTGAGACACTGTCTCTCTCTGTCACCTAGGCTGGAGGGTAGGTCCTTACCATAGCTCCCTTAGCCTTGACCTTGACCTCCTGGGCTCAGGAGATCCTCTCGCCTCAGCCGTCTGAGTAGCTGGGACTACAGTGGCACAGCACCATTTCCAGCTAATTAAAACAAATAAATTTTTTTTTTTTTTTTGGTAGGCTGGGCACAGTGGCTCACACCTGTAATCCCAGCACTCTGGGAGGCCGAGGCGGGTGGATTACCGGAGGTCAGGAGCTCGAGACCAGCCTGGCAAACGTGGTGCAATTCCATCTCTACTAAAAATACAAAAATCAGCCGGGTCTGGTGGCATGCGCTTATAGTCCCAGCTACTTGGGAGACTGAGGCAGGAGAATCGCTTGAACCCGGGAGGTGGAGGTTACAGTGAGCTAAGACTGCTACTGCACTCCAGCCTGGGGGACAGAGTAAGGCTCTGTCTCAAAAAAATAAAATAAATAAAATAAATAAAATAAAAAATCCTCCTGCCGCAGCCTCCCAAAGTGCTCTGATTACAGGCATGACTCACTGCACGTGGACATTATATTGACTTTTTAAAAAAGGGGTGTGTAGATAGGTTATGCTATTGATGTATTTAATTTCTGGACAGAAAAACTACAGAATATTCATTATCGTCAGGCTCATGCCCTCTACACTGCCTTGATCAATGTCACCGGTGACCTCCACATTCTAAGTCCAATGATCAGGGCTCAGCCCCTTCTTACTGATCACTCTGTCCTCTGTGAAACGGTTTCTTGTGGTTCCCCTTCCCCAGCCCTGGCTCCCTTCTCTGGTCACCTCTGTTTCCCCTTCCTCTAGCTGACCTCTAAACTTGGCACTTCGGGGCTGGATCCTCTGACATCTTCCCTAGCCACACTCACTCCTCTGCCCTTGCCCAGGCTCACGGGTTTTTGTTGTTGTTGTTGTTTTGAGATGAAGGCTTGCTCTGTCTCCCAGGCTGCAGTGCAGTAATGCAATTCCAGCTCACTGTAACCTCTGCCTCCTGGGTTCAAGCGATTCTCCTGCCTCAGCCTCCTGAGTAGCTGGGATTACAGGCGCCCACCACCACGCCAGGTTAATTTTTGTATTTTTAGTAGACACAGCGTTTCACCATGTTGGTCAGGCTGGTCTCAAACTCCTGACCTCAAGTGATCCGCCCACCTCAGCCTCCCAAAGTGTGGGGATTACAGACATGAGACACTGCGCCTGGCCCAGCTCATGGCTTTCAATATCATCTCTTAGCTGGTAACTTTTGCATTTTTACCTCCAGCCCAGGCCTGTCTCATGAACTCCAGACTCATTCACGTCCCAGCTGCCTCCCTGACATCTCAAACTCACGCTTCCAAAACTAAGGTCCCAGCTGCAACCCTCCAACTTTCCCGTCTCCATTCCCTGCTTTTACCCTGCCCACAGCCCTCTCCTCCAACCAGAAAGTAAGCTCCATGAAGGCATGGGCTTCTGTCTGATTTATGGCTGTATCCTCAGGGCTGAGTACAGTGTCTGGCCCAGAGCAGGTGCCCGGTGATGTATTATTTGAATGAATAAATAAAACTTGCATTGAGTTCTTGGGTAGACATTACTGCTCGACAGTCCCAAGACACAAGTCTAAACACTACCTGTCGTCTTCACGAGTCTTAAGGTTTTGTAAGCCTGAAGGTGCTGAACTCGGCCTGGCCCTGCCCCAGCCCGTCTCCCGGGACTTACTCTCGCTCCTTGAGCAGCACCTTCTGGGACTCATCCAGCCGTAGCCGCAGGGCGGTCAACTTGGAGGCTTCCTCCTCCGTGGCAGCTGCGTCCTCCCAGGGCAGCCGGCTGCGCTCCTGGCGTCCTGAGCTGCCCCGTGGGGCCCCGGCCCCCACGCTGCGCGCATCCCAGCAGTCCTCGGGCTCCTCCGGCCTGCTCTTCAGCAGGCTCTCCACCAGCTCCAGTTCCTGTGGGGACCAACGTGGAGGCTGGACCAGTGGCTGCAAGCCAGGCCAGGTTACTGCTGGGTAACCTGGGTTACTCAGTTACTGGGTAATGCAGTGCCTCTGGGCCTCAGTTTCCTCTTCTGCTGCCTGCCTCTCCACCTCTGGAGAAGGAAGACACAGCCTGCTCTGGGCCTCCCCCTTCACCTCCTGGAGCCGCAGAGTGTCAGCCACCATGGTTCCCTGTATCCGAAAAGACTCCTCAGGAGAGGTCGTGAGCTCCCTGTCACTGGAAGTATGCAAACCTATGGTGGGCCACTGATGGGAACAAATGTTGAAGCAGGAATGCCTATAATGGCTTAAGCCTAGATTCCTTCCAAAGGAATTCCAGCTCTAAGACCTTGTTTTTCTGGGGCAAACAGTAAGGCACAGGGAGACAGGTGACATGGGCAAGCAGTGCCTGTGAGGAGAGCCGGCTCCCAGACAGGACACAGTAAGAGATTAGAACCCAGGGCTGAGCTCCCTTCCCACCTGCCATTCTCCCCTCCTCCTCTGCCCCTGCCCATCCCCAAGGCCTGTCTCTGACACAAACCCACAGGGACCACAGCCCCTGTTCCAGCTTCTCCCACAGCCTTTCCCAGATGAGTCTGGGCCAGCCTCTTCCTGGCCTGGCCCTCGGTTTCCCTAACTGGACTGGAGCGGCGGCCCTGGGGACTCCCTGAGGAGTGAGAGCTATTCTTCTGTATCTGATTATCCAGATGGGGAGTGGTATCTAGTCCAAAGCCCCATTTTACAAATGGCGAAAAGGAAGAGAAGGGACTTGTTCTGGGCCACAGCACGAAGAGGCTGGGCTGGAGGACAAACTCAGACTGCAAGCCTAGGGCTCCTGTCACTGCCCATGGCCTTCTGGCCTGTGACTGACAACTGGCACAAGGATAGGACAGGTGCAGCGCTGTGCGCCGTGACCACCACCTCCGAACACCAGGTCGCCCCAGGGAAGAGGGGACTTCAGCCACAGGAGGCAGCAGTGCCCGCTCTAGCTTATGGGGTGGAGGAGGCTGGGTGGGAGAGAGGAGGGAGTGTCTTATCTGGAGGAGTTGGCCTGTCTGGGGACTGACCTGGGGAGCTGAGGCTGGACCCTGCCCCCAGGTGGCTTTCTGGTAACAAGCCTACTGGCTCCGGAGAGGGTGCCCTCTGCATCCACTGTTAATGCAGCAGCCATCCTGATTATTACCCTGGACTCTGGAGCCAGATCACCCAGGTTCAAACCCCACCAAGTCGTCACTGGCTGGCAGACCTTGCTTCCCCCTTTTTTTTTTAAGATGAAGTTTTCGCTCTTGTTGCCCAGGCTGGAGTACAGTGAACCGTGATCTTGGCTCACTGTAACCTCCACCTTCTGGGTTCAAGCAATTCTCCTGCCTCAGCTTCCCACATAGCTGGGATTACAGGCACCCGCCACCATGCCCGGCTATTTTTTGTATTTTTAGTAGAGATGGGGTTTCACCATCTTGGCCAGGCTGATCTGGAACTCTTTACCTCAGGTGATCCACCCACCTCAGCCTCTCAAAGTGCTGGGATTCCAGGCGGGAGCCACCGTGCCCTGCCCAGACCTTGCTTCTGCATCTCTCTGTGCCTCAGGGTCTTCCCCAGGGAGCAACGATCTTACAGGGTTGCTGTGCGGGTTACCTAGACAATGCACAAGCTCAGCTTAGTGCTGCGTGGTGCCCACTGAATGACAACAGTTGCTATTACTGCCATTTGCCAAACTCACCAGGTCCTCTCGGCCTCTAGACTTTGCACAGGCAGTTTCCATCACCTGGGATGCCTTCAGGCACTTTTTGTCTTAATTTTTATTTTTTAGAGATGGAGTCTGTTGCCCAAGCTGGAGTGCAGCTGTGTAATCGCAATTCACTGCAACCTTGACCTCCTGGGCTCAAGAGATCCCTCCTGCCGCAGCCACAGCCTCAGCCTCAGCCTTCTAAGCAGCTGGTACTCCAGGTACGAGCCCCCTTGTCCTTCCCTCCTGGCACTTTTCACGGCTAATTCCTACTTATCCTAGTCTCAGCTTGAATGTGATCTCTTCCAGAAAAGCTTCTGTGAAGCCTACGTCAGGGACTTCCTGTGTGATCCTAGTGCCCTGATTCCCCCACCACTCAGCTCTGATCGAATGAATGGATTCAGCTCTGCTACAAATCAGCTAACTTCCAGGCAAGCTGCTGGATCCCTCTCCTGCTCAAAGGAATGATTCCTTGGTTCTGTTGACTTCTCAGGTCTGGGAGTGGAGGGCTCACAGAACTTGGGATTCTCCACCCTGAGGTCTCCGAAAGGAAGATGATCGGAGGCCCTACAGGGGAAGAGCCCGACCTGGAGAAGTGAAACCTCCAGGAAGCCAAGCCTTGACTGGCTCCCGTCTGAGCCCCGCAGCCCCGATTCAGCTCAGCCAATCGGCCCCGCCCCCGCCGCGCACCTGGCTGCCCGGCGGCCTCTCGGATCCCACGTCGCGGACGGGCTCGCGTTCCGCTTCCGGCTCGGGGCCGTCGCACGTCTGGTCCGCTGCTCCTCGGGCGCCCCGCAGCCGCGCCAGCTCGCGGCCCCGTGCTTCGCACTCGCCCTGGGCCTCCTGGCGCTCGCGCCGCGCGCCTGCCAGCTCCTTGGTGAGCGCGTCCAGGCGCTGGCGCAGCTGGCGCACCTCCTCGCGCGCGCGGTTGCGCTCGGCGCGCACCTTGCTCCACTTCTCGCGCCAGTTGGCCGTGCAGTCCGACCACCAGCGCATGGTCTTCTCCATCTGCGCCGCCCGCGCCCGCGCCTCCTCCAGCTCCCGCAGCCGCAGCTCCTCCCGGCTCTCCCAGTCGCCGTCGGCCAGCAGCGCGGGCGCAGGGGGCAGGGGCAGCGCGGGCGGCGGCCCTGGCGAGGGCGTGCCGCTGGGCGGTGTGGGCGGCAGCGAGTCGGCAGGCCCCATGCGCTCTGGCGACGGGCTGCCCAGGATGGTCAGGAGACTGCCCTTGGACAGCTGCGGAGACTCGGCCAGTCGGGGGCTCGGCCCGTGGCTCATGGTGCGGCCGGGCGGACCCTGCGCTCGAACTCGCGGCCCGGCTCACGGGCGGCTCCGGGGACGCGCGACGGACGCGATACCACTGTGCATGATGACGCCGCGCCCCGCTTCTCTCTGGGCCACCGGGCAGAGTACGTCTCCTCGGACCTGTGAGAGAACACAACCATTATTGGACCGTGACCACCAACAGTCCGGAAGATTAGCCGCGCGAAGAGCCCGGTGGAGGGAACAGAATGGCCAAAGGTGAGAGAAGAGAGTTCTGTTCCAGGAGAGTCCCAGTGAGGCAGGATTGCTGGAGCAAGGGCCCGCAGCGGTACCCTCAATGGCCTTCAGATTCCCTGCTTCAGTCCCTTCACCCAGCGGCGCTGATCTGAAACCTTGATCTGTTCTTTATCCTCCCAGTCCCATCTCACACACTGATGTCTTATACTACACTACCATCCAACTTCGGCACGGGACCCACGTGGGGGCACTGGGCTGCTGCTGGGAGTTGTCTCCCTGCCTCTTCCTGCACTGGGCTAACTCTTCTCATCCTTAAACCTCCTCTGAGATATCACTACTCCTGGAAGCCCTCCTGGAGTACCTCAGTCCAGGTCCATCAACCCCTCTGTGTCTCCATCACTGCGCTAACTTACCTTGTTATTTATGTGCCTCCTCTGTGCCCTTATCCAAGGCTGTGAGAGTTTGCTGTGGGCCGGGACTGGGTCCTGACCACTGCTTTAGTCCCAACACATGACAATGACATTTGTGGAGGGCAGGCCACAGGCCAGGCACTGTGCCCACGGCTTTAGTGGAATGATCTCATTTATTCCTCAAAAGAGTGGAGGCGAGGAAAACGATTATCTCTGTTCATGGTATCTATGAGCCCAAATTCAAACTCTAGTAAGGATTTGCTGAATGAATGCATGTCCCGGGGATGATGATGGAAATAAACCAGTCCTCAGATGGCAGGGGCTTCTGAGAGTGCAGCAGGATGTTCCCTCCCCTTCTCTGCCAGAACCACCATCCCTCCCTGACACCCTGACTCACTGCAAACATCTCTTGTTCTGTGTGTCTCACTTTACCTCCCCACCGCCCAGCACTGGGTTCTGCCATTTATGGGCCATTCCCCCCTTTAAAATAAGTGAGAGGATGGCGGGGCGAGGTGGCTCACACCTGTAATCCCAGCACTTTGGGAAGTCGATGTGGGTGGATCGCCTGGGGTTGGGAGTTCAAGGACCAGCCTGACCAGCATGGAGAAATCCTGTCTTTGCTAGAAATACAGAATTAGTGGGGCATGGTGGTGCATGCCTGTAATCCCAGTTACTTGGGAGGCCGAGGCAGGAGAATCGCTTGAACCTGGGAGGTGGAGATTGCCATGAGCCGAGATTGTACCATTGCACTCTAGCTTGGGCAGTAAGAGCGACAATCTGTCTCAAAAATAAGTACACAAATAAATAAAAAGTAAATGACAGGTATGTCCCTCTCTTGTCCCCAACCTGACCCAGTCTCCCTCCATGGCGGCCTCTGATGACTGCCACCAACAGCCCCTTGGGACATCACACCTTTCCTTCCCCATTAGGTGGAGAGCCGTGGTCCCCAGGACCCACCCTTTTGGAGTGATCAATGCAGAGTCGGTGGGACTCTTGGCACTGGCTGTCCCCTAGGGCTGCCTGGCAGCCCTCTATGCCCCCTCTCCACCCTCTGCCAACCTCTGACCTCCCTCACTCTCGGCAGATGATCTAATGTCATGGTTTGCAGTGAAAAAGGAAGCTGTCGTGCCCCTCCTCTCTGTCCCTGAGAGGACAGAGGGGTTCTCCTTCCTTGAGCTGAAAGCCCGTCTCCTGGCCACTCCCCCCAGCCAGTGACGTTCTCTTCAGAGGCCTTACCCCTGCTGAAGTGTCTCCTGGCACCTTCTTCTCCCCTGCCCTGACTCCTCCTTCCAGAGTGGTCCACACTTGCTGTCTCCACTCCATCCACCTTCCTGGTGCTCTGTCACCCAGCCACCTGTGCCAGGCTGGCTTCCAGGCCCCTATGACGGTGTGCCTTCTGGACCTGCCATGGTGACCGCTTCCCTGCCTCACTTGCTTCCACGTCTTCCTCTCCAGCTGCTCCTCGTCAGCCTCCCAGGTGGACTCCCTGGGCTCATCCCTTGAGTGCTGCTGTCATCCCGCCCTGGGACCCCTTCTCCTCTCAGGCTAGCCCTGCCTGGGTCATCTCGCCATGTCCTCAACCCTGAGTCTCTCTCCAGCCCAGGATGCCCTCAGAGCCTCCCATACCTCCATCCAGATGCCTGACAGATGACTCAGGCCTGTCTTGGTCAAAATGGAGCTTGTTGCCTCCATTCTCCCCATGACGTGCTCCTCCAGGAGAAGGCACCTCCTCACTCCTTCCAGCTTTGGGGGCACCCTGAAATCTGCCTTCTCTCTCCCCTGCCCACCACACCCTGTCGGTCTGTCTGCTCTGCGTCCACCTTCCATCCACTAACCTGTCAGGGACCACACCACCTTCACTCACCTGGGCAACAGCAGCCACACCCACCGCCCTGCCCATCATGCGCTTTCGCCTCCTTCAAATCTGTTCTCAATAGCAACAGAGCACGTTTTTTTAAGTGCAAACCTGACTACTCTGGTGGCCACCCGCTGTGTCACTACCAATAGTCCTGAATCCTCCATAGCCTCAATTCTAAAGTTACTCCCTCTAGGACTCCAGCTCCAAATAGCTTCTAACCCCAGCAGGAGCCTGAAGTCGCAATCCCGCCACTACACTGCCCACCCCCAGTGCCCTCTTGTGCCGGCTCACTTCTGTGCTCTAAATCTCTCCCTTGCCAGTACCCTCCGTGTCCTAGGCCCCTCCTGTTCTGGCCCCTCTCGGTGAACGCCAACCCTGTTCCCTCCACTGCTTTGCCCGCTTTTACCTTCCACTGTAGAGCTGGGCATTGCGGGTTTTCCACCACCTCGTGGAGCAGTGTCTTTTAAAATTCATGAGCTTTGGTCATGGTTCCTCCATGCTGCTCAGTGACCCCACTGCATTTCTCCGGGGCCATCTGCTGTTTGCTCATTGCTGTCTGCCTTTACCACACATGAGGTCTAGGCCCAGCTCTGACACCAACCTCATGTAAGCCACTGTCCCTTTCTGGGCCTCAGTTTCCCCATGTGTAGAAGGGGGAACATGTGAGAGAGATCAATGCTTCTTATCAGGGTATCCCTCAGATTCACCTGGGCACTTGGCCCTATACCCCAGAGAGTCGTGTTTGGTAGGTGCAGGGCTGGGGATTCGCATTTGAATAGTTTGGGATATCTGAGCATTTGCCGATGCGTTCTTACTACCCACAGTTCCATAAATACAACACGTACATCCCAACCCTGATAACATCTGTGCCACGCACCCGGACACAGCCATACAGATCCAGGCTCTGGTTCCATGGACACCACCGACACCCCAGAGATCCCTAGCAGCCTGTGCCTCTGTGACAGCCTGTGCAGTGAGCTGGCCGCCTTGATGCCCTGTACGTTCATAAACATCTGTGCACACACAGACATGCAATCCCATGCACAGATGCAAAGACCCAGGGACACACACACACATGCTCAGATGGACTGACATGTACACACAGCTACACGGGTGCATGGAGAGACGTTCGCCTGTAGACACGGACACGCCTAAAGGCACACACAAGCCGGCACACTGACGGACAGGTACAAAGTCATGCAGGAATCCATGCTCATCCCTAAGAGAAGCAGAGATACACACGTACACACATACAAACACACACACTCCTCATTTTCCTGGCCTAGCTCCACCTAGAAAAGCTCTTGGAAAAGAAAAACAATGTGAGAGCCTGTGGGGGAGGGGAGGAGGAGGAGGAGGCAGGAAACCCGGGTGCCAGCCAGCAGCTGTGCTGGGAATGGGGGCCTAGGCCCTGTCTGCTGGACCCTTCCCACAGCCCCTAAACTAGGAACCTGGCAGGGAGGGGACCACTGCCACATCCTCTCTGCCTCTGGGAGCTGCCAGGCCTGGCAGAGGGCTTAGCCCAGAGAGGGCCGCCGGCTCCTTCCAGGAATCCAAGCCTGCTGTGCAGGGCCAGGGCAGGCACCACCCAGGCCTCTAATGGCTTCCAGGCACCCATGCTAAAGACAGAGATGGGGGTTCTCCATCTCAGATTCAGCTCGTTCTCTTTCTCAGCAGCCTGGCCAGGCCCCTCCTAGGGGCTGGGGGAGGAGGAAGGGGCACAGCGGGTGCAGGGAAGTTTTGCAATAGCACTTTCGCCTGGCCTTTGCACTTCAGGCCCAGGGTCCCCTGAGCCGGGGTGTGGGAAGGGGTGGGGGTTGGGGTCCTCAGGGGAGTTTTCTGGAGAAGCCCAACCCCGAGCCCCCAGGACAGCAGAAATCCTGCACTCCCACATAGACCCAAGGGCAGCCAGACCCTGCCTAGCAGCGCCACCCCCAGCCGCCCCACCCACCCAGCACAGCCCTGGGACACACATTCACACACTGCCCCAGTCATGCACACATTCACACACACAAGCCCTGGGGAACCGCACTCACACGTGTGCACTCACACATGGCCCTGGTAATGCACACAAACACACTGCCCCAGGAACGTGCACACTCACTGAGGGGTGGCAGCGGCGCAGAGCATGGCTCACAGCCGTGGAGATGCCCCAGCCGCCCTCCCACCCCTTCCACCAGGCTCCGTGCCTTCTTTCCATGGGGTGTGGATGTGCATGGGGAGTGGCCTCGTGTTCCTCTGGCATCACTGCTCCCCCAAGGGGCAAGTCAGGGTGGACCAGCCACCATGGGCCCTGGTGAGCCTTTTCTACCCCATCCTCCCCTGTCCAGCCTCCCAACAGCCAGACGGGTCTATTTCTGTTTTAAGTCTCTGGGTTTCTATTCCAAATGCACCCCCCGCCAACTGCAAAACCTCCACCCATGTTCAAGTTCAGCTGCCACGAACTCCAGGAAATGCCTTGATCTCCCCAAACCCACCCCCACCTGGGGAGCACAGCCCCACAACCTCCCACACCCAGGCCTGGCCAGCTGCCATCTCTCTTCTGGCAGTACAGGCTTCCCCCATCCAGATGGGACACTCGTGTCACTCAGAGCTTCTAGGACAGGCCCCACAGATACTTGCCGATTAACACTAGCTGGTGGGCTGGAGAGCAGAAGACTGAGTTATGACCTCACATCCCCTTAGCTGGACAGCAGAGTTTAGTGGGAACCAAAGCTTCTGAACCCCAGCCCCATGCTATGCTCACTGGTAGCTCACTCCAGGACAGAAATAAGAATGTTTTGATCTGACACGTGCTGCAGGATAGGCCCTCATCAGCCCTGCCCACAGAAAGTGACCAGTGGTTCCTTTTGCTTTTGGACTTGTCTGGAACATCTCTTTTTCCTTCATCAGCAAACTCCTACACATCCTTCAAAACCCACCTCCAGTGTCCCCTCCCCGGGAAGCCTTCTCTAACTTCTCTACACAGAGTATCCCCCCAAAGCACCAGGCATCTCCCTGTTCTACAGCAAAGGCCTCATTTTGAAGTCCAGGAGGGCATCAACACAGAACCTGGCATACAGCAGATGCATGATGAATAGTAGGTGGACAGAGGCCACTCTTAGGGGTACCCCTGTGACCACGCAGAGTTTGGGAAGGTTGAGTCATCCTAAGGATCAGGAGTCAGTCTGTGGCCAGGCTCTGAGACAGGTAGATATCTAAGCCTGTCTGTGGTCAGGGTCCGAGTCAGAGGTCAGGTCAGGCGGGAAGCCTAATTGACCGATAGGGGAACAACGTTGTGTTTTGTCCTCGGTATGTGTGGACGGGTCTTTCCATATCCAGTGAGAGGAATGGGCAATGCTGAGGCCTGGACGGGGCCAGCTGATGGGATGGGGAGCCCAGTGGCCCAACCCCTCCCCCCAGCCCTATAACCCTGTAGGTCCTCCCAGAGAGCCTTTCAGGTGGGGCCCTGGGACAGGCCCATGGCCACAGGCCTGGCTGCGGACAGAAAGCAGAGCCCAGCAGGAAACCACAGAGGACAGCCTGATTGAATAAGTGCAGGGCGCAAGGCTGGTCAGCCCACAGACTGCGGGCTCCTGTCCCTGCGACCTGCTGCCCAGGCTCCAGCTGCAGGACCGCTGAGGGGAGCCGGCTGGTGGGGAAGGACGGGATGGAGGCTGGGCATCCGGTATGGACAGGAGCCCAGGGGTATGTACTCCTGGCCTGTTCCCAGGTACCCCCATCTCAGACTGAGGAGCCGCAGAGACGCCCTGGATCATTGATTTGAACTTCTTTCTTTACAGATGGGCCAACTACGTGTCTGTGTCCATACCGTGGACCAGCAGCAAAGCCGGGGTAGGAAGCTGGAGTGCTGGGGTGGGGTGCCTCCCCTCCTGGGTCTTGACTGCCTGAGGGGCACAATACCCCCAGGAGCACCCACCTACAAGATGGAGTCTGCAGGAGGCCAAGAGGATACGCATAGTTGGGATGGTGGGGGGGGGGAACCTTCATGGGGACTGACCCCCACCCCAGCCCCAGACCTCTTGGCAACACCGTGAACTCTTCACTGTTGTACAGCAGGTATCCCACTAGTCCTAGCTCCGTCACTGATACGCTGTATGACACCCACAAGTCCCTGCCCTCTCTGGGCCTCAGTTTCCCTACCTCTAAGATGGGGAGAGGCACTAAAAAGATTCCTGAACGCTCTAACAGGTGTTTAGACCTTGTGAACCCAAACGAATCCAACCCCCACAACAGCCCCGGGCGAGCAGGGGTGGGAAGGTGGACACCACCCGACCTAAGGTAGAGAAACTGAAGCCCCAGCGCTGCGTCGCCTTAGTCCTCAGTCGCCCCCTCCAATGCCGCCGGGCCAGCGAGCCTCCCCGCTCCCCCTAGCGGCGGGCGGAGGCTAGAGGTGGGGTTCCCGGGCCGCGCGGCGCCGTCCCGCCCACCCCTCCACACGGCCCCCATTGGTAGCCACCGCGGCTCTGGGCGGGGTGCCGTACTCCGATTGGCCAGTGCCGCCCGTCCATCCCACCTTCGCCATGGTGACCACGTTGGGTCCCCCGGGAGACTTCCAAATTCCGTTCCCGCCCGCCGCCCCCTCCCGTCCGGCCCGGGCCGCGACATTCCGAAGGCGCTTCCCCTCCCCCATCTCCCTGCGGCCCCTCCCCACCCGAGGCCTGGCGTTCCGGCGGCGGGGGAGGCCGGGGAGGGGTCTGGAAAGTTCTGCTCTGAGTTCTGGGGTTGCTGCGGGCGCCCCGACTGTGCCGGCTCCTCCAGCACGCCCCACAACTTAACCCCTTCCCTCCCGCGGAAGGCGAGTGGCCTGGAGCCGGTTACCCGGCCGCCGTGGCCGGCCGCCCCCCGCCCTGCCGCCCCCGCTCACCTCGGGCCGGGACCTGCGGGCTCCGGACGTCCGAGCCGCCGCGGCGGGGCGGAGCGGGCACCGTGCAGCTGCGGCCGCCGCCGGAGGGGCCGAGGGAGGGCCGCAGAGTCTCCTCCTCCCTCCCGGGGGGAGGGGAAACGAGGGAAGCGGCGGGGCCCCCCGAGGCGGGCGCAGGCTGCGGCCCCGCTGTGACCCCGTCCAGTGGAGCTGCTGGGGTGGGGGCTTCAGCCTAAGTTCGGGGCGAGGGGCGCGTGCCGGGGCGGTGGGCTCTGCTGCAGAGCGGGCCGGACCCCGACCGAGGCCCCACCCCCATGGGGGGCCGAGGGTGGGGGTGTTCGGCTTTCTTGGTTCAGGTTTCCTCAGCGCCAACTACGTTCGAGGAGCCCCCAGCAGAAGTGGGCACCGCGGGTCCTGGCTCGGCACGTGGAGCCAGCCTACCAAGTCTTCACTGTTGTTACCTGCATTCCTCCCTGGGCCAGCTCTGCCACTGAGTGGACGTGGGCCAACAAGTCTGTGCCCATTGGGCCTCAATTTCTCCTGTACCACAAAAGGGTTGCTGAAAGCAACCTAGTGCTTGTTAAGAAATGGGGGGCGCGGGGAGTACTCGGCCCAGTGGGCTGAGCTTTTCTCCGCTTTGCGATGGTGGTTGGCAGGCCCTGGGCAATTACGGTAATACGCTGTATTGTGCTCTCGGCGGCGCCCAGCTGTTTTGGGGCTTCCTCTCTGCTGGGGGTAGGGTGTTTGTGGTCTTGACTGGAAAGCAGCAACTGGTGTCTGGAGGACTCCTCCCCACCACATCCTGTAGCCTGGAAGGCCACTGAGGTGAATCTATTCAAAAGGAGACCAAAGGTTCACCAAGACGGTGAGGAGAACATAGCCAAATTGGGATTTTACCTAGAAAAAGAAGCTAAATTACAAAGATAAATTAGTTTTACCCCATGATTAACAGTTTAGATTATGGTTGCAACCAAGCACACCTTAGAATGAACCAAGAATGAATCAAATGTTAATACTGGAAGACTTTTTTTTTTCTTTTAATAGTTGAGTATGTAGTAACTTTCCCTTCCGAATCGGTTTTTGCAGTAAGAGATTTATTTTTGCAAAAAATATTTGAGAGCTTCTTCAAACCCAAGGATCACTGAACCCTTTGATAGTCCAGTGATTCTTTTCGGGTCTGGGTCACTTCTCGTGCAGATGTTGTGGGCAGCAGCTGTTCCATTGCTCCTGCATTGCTTCCACCAACTCCATGAAATCCCACACTTTGCAAGACTGGCAGTTTCACTTGTCGATTCATTTGCTTTGTGTTTGTTCTGCATGGCTGAATGTTGACAGCGTCTGTTCACCAGCCAGAGACAGACTGTGGTGGAGATGTGTGGGGTTTGAGTACTCAGGGGACAAGGGCATCCACGTTTTACAGCTGGGGGAAATGAAGGCTCAGAGAAGCTCTTGGCTCAGATTTGTACAAGGTCCTACAGCTGGTGACAGTCTTGGATCAAGAGCCCAGAGCTCTTGCCCAGAGTTTTTGGAGGTGGAAATAGGGCTGGAGAAGGTGATGGAGACGGAGTTGATGGTGCACCTAAGCTCCAGCTGTACCCTCATCACTGTCAGGCCCTCTCTCCTAAGGGAGAATCAACACATGCCGGCCTGAGGCTGTCTTTTGCAGGGACTGGGGTGGGGTGACCCGCCTGATCATAGAACCAAGGTGGGTGCTGGCCACAGGTTTTGGCAGCTTGCACGGTGTTTTCTTAGTTACCTAGGAGCTGGGTATTCTTACCACCCTGTCATAATGAGAAAAGTGAAGATTAGAAGTGACTGGACTGGGCACGGTGGCTCACACTTGTAATCCCAGTGCTTTGGGAAGCTGATGTGGGAGAATCGCCTGAGGCCAGGAGTTCAAGACCAGCATGGGCAACATAGGGAGACCTTGTCTCTACAAAAAGATAAAAATTTAGACAGGTGTGGTGGTGCACACCTCTAGTCCCAGCCGCTTGGGAGGCAGAGGCCAGAGGATCTTCTCAAGTAACTGGCCCACGGTCACCCTATGAGATATCGGATCCCAGATCTGACTGTTTGAATTTTACTGTATTACCTTTCTAGAACAGCACCTCCGGGAGCCTCTCTGAGTACAAGGCTCACTGAGCCTCCCCAGTGGTCTCCGCACGGTTTCTCTCTGGCAGCCTGTCCCACTCCTCTCAGCTCAGAACAGTCAGGTTTTTGTCCGAGGCACGTGTCAGTATTTCCCACACCAGCAGTTCCCTTTTCCTGTATCACTGCCACCACTTTATGCCACCAGCACATGGCACTTGTGCCCTTATTTACTTTAGCATTTTTTTCAAATTTTTTCACTTTTTAAGATGAAAGTGTATGTTAAAGGGCCATTTCATATTGCTAGGGTAAATAGAAAATTTGTATCACTTGCCACAGATAGAAGAAAAATCATAAAAATAAATAGCATGCAAATAGAACAATGTTAGGAAAGTCTAGCTAGAAATGTTCTCTTTGTTAAGAAGGGGCCTCGCCGGGCGCGGTGGCTCAAGCCTGTAATCCCAGCACTTTGGGAGGCCGAGGCGGGTGGATCACGAGGTCGAGAGATCGAGACCATCCTAGTCAACATGGTGAAACCCCGTCTCTACCAAAAATACAAAAAAAAAATTAGCTGGGCATGGTGGTGCGTGCCTGTAATCCCAGCTACTCAGGAGGCTGAGGCAGGAGAATTGCCTGACCCCAGGAGGCGGAGGTTGCAGTGAGCCGAGATCGCGCCATTGCACTCCAGCCTGGGTAACAAGGGCGAAACTCCGTCTCAAAAAAAAAAAAAAAAAAAAAAAAAAAAAAGAAGGGGCCTCATTTCTACACCCATGTTCATTGAAGCATTATTCACAATAGCTGAAAGGTAGAAGCAACTCAAGTGTCTATCGACAGATGAATGAACAAAATGTAATAGAATATGCACAGTGGAATATGATTCAACCTATAAAAGGAATGAGGGTCTGGCACTCCAACATGGAGCAGCCTTGAAGACATCATGCTAAATGAAATGAGCAAGTCACTCAAGGACAAAGACTGTGATTCTACTAAGATGAAGCACTTAGAGCAGTTAAATTCAAGAGACAGAAAATAGAGCGGTGGTTGCCAAGGGCTGGGAGCAGTGGAGAACGGGAAGTTCTATTTCATGTGGAGTTTCAATTTGAGAAGATGAAAAATGTTTTGGAGATGGGATGTGGTGATGTTCGCATGACAGTGTGAAGGTACTTAATGCCATTGAACTATGTATTTTTGTTTTGTTTTTGAGACAGGGTCTCTCTCTGTCACCTAGGCTGGAGTGCACTGGTGGGAACACAGCTGTCTGTATCCTCGACCTCCTGGGCTCAAGCGATCCTCCCATCTCAGCCTCCTGAGTAGGTGGATCTACAGGGGCACATTATCATGCCCAACTAATTTTTTTTTTTTTTGTAAGGACAGGATCCGCTATGTTTCCCAGGGTGGTCTCAAACTTCTGGGCTCAGGTGGTTCTGCCGCTAGGCCTTTGTCTGAAGTGTTGGGATTACAGGTTTGAGCCACTATACCTGGCCTGAATCTTCACTTAAAAATGCTTAAAATGATAGCTTTTGTTGTCTATATCTTACCACATTTAAAAGTCAGATGTTCCTGTTTCGATGTCTAATAAGAGATTGAAAAATGGGGGAAAATAAGGGACGTAGTGTATGTTAGAGAGGGGTTAAAACAGTTTGAGCTGAGGCTTCTGCTGGACACAACCAAGATTGAGAAAGATGTGTGAATGAGTTTTTGCCATGTGACTCAGTTTATCTAAAGTCCTTTAGGGGTCCCACCTACGGTCTTCTTGCGGCTCACCAGGTTGAGTAGCCCCCAGATGGGAGGCGATTTACTGGGATGGTATGTGGCCTCCTCCCTGCCTGGGGGCCTGAGAGGGGACTGGCAGGCTTCCTGCAGCTCAAGCATCCAGAATGTTCTGTAGAGGAAGGAGTAGGAGGCAGAATGCAGCAGAGCCCTGATGGGTGGAGAGGAGCTGGAGGGCTGCCCAGGTACATGTGTGGGACCACAGCTGGGACTGAGCAGGAAGATGGGTATTACTATGGCAAGCACACTCAAACTGGGTGGCAGTGGAAGTTGGATGGGGGTTAGACTGTGAGGGCAATAGGGAGCCACCACTGGCTTTTTTTTTTTTTTTTTTTTTTTTTTGACAGAGTCTCATTGTGTTGCCCAAGCTGGAGTGCAGTGGTGTGATCTCGGCTCACTGCCACCTCCACCTCCCAGGTTTAAGCGATTCTTGTGCCTCAGCCTCCTGAGTACCTGGGATTACAAGTGTGCGCCATCATGCCTGGCTAATTTTTGCATTTTTGGTAGAGATGGGTTTTCGCCATGTTGCCTAGGCTGGTCTTAAACTTGTTGCGTCAAGTGATCCCCCCACCTCAGCCTCCCAAGGTGCTGGGATTACAGGCCTGAGCCACCGCACCCAGCCTCACCACTGGCTTTTGAGCAGGAGAGTATCTTGGTAGTGAGTTTCAGAAATCAGGAGTGCAGGGCTAAGTAACAAGCACTCACTTAGCCCCCAACTGAAGCAGGGCACAGTGAGACGGGTACAGACCCAGGCTGGGAAATAGAGGGGCTGTCGGGTAGGCAAGTCCTCCTCCTGAGCCCTGAGAACAGCCACCTGGGCTCCTATTCAGCATGAGGAAGGAAGAGGTTGGCGTGGCAATCCTAGAGGTGGCCGGATACCTCAGAAAGGAGGGGCCTGGAAGTCAAGATCTGGATTGGGACCAAAGAAAACTGAAGTGCAAAGCAGGGCCACGGTTTGCCAAGTCACCCAGAGGGAGTGTAGCCCAGGGAGCAGGACACAGGTGCACTGATGTCCCTGCAAAGCCTTCACCATGCAGCTCGGGTGGGGACCTGGTTGCCCTCCAAGGAGCAGTTCCCTCCTGCTTCCGCAGAGGCCACCTGTGCTACCTGCGAGCTGTGCTTGGGCTGATGTGGGAAGGGCCCCAGTGAGGCCAGAGAGGAGGGAGACCGTGTCAGGACTTGTCTGGTTTCTCCCTTTTGCTGCCTCGCCATCTTTCCCCCAGGGCTGGAGTCACAGTTTTCCCAGGAGTCTGGATGGGGCCCAGTCAAGAAAGAGCACCATCTCCCCATTACCAACACACGCGCGTGTACACACACACACACACACACACACACACACACACACGCACACACCCCTACCTCTTTGCTCCCTTAGAGCTCTTCAGAGGGTATGGCTGCGCAGGACAGGCTTATCCAGACCCCTGGCTCAAGGAGAAGCTGGCCAGCTTTCCGGCCCCACGTTTTCTGGGCCCTGCAGCCAGGAGGCTCCTCTCCACCAGGCTCTGCCGCTTGGCAACTTGGCCAGGCCCTGGTCCTCTCTGGGCTTCAGGTCCCTGATCTGTGAACTGTGGCGGCTTCATGGGACGCTTCGGTGACTGCCAGCCTTGCCTTTTGTAAGCCCCACACTGCAGGGGGTTCTGTCATCTCCATTTACAGAAGGGAAACAGGCTCAGAGAGTGACCAAGTCACCCAGCCAGTAAGTGATGGGCTTGGTCCTTGAACACAGGCCGTCTGACCCAGCTCCTGCCTGAGGTCCTTGCCATCATCAGTACCATCGATGGTCAGGTCAGGCAGCGATCGTTTTCCCTTTTCTATTGATGGGAAAACTGAGGCCCAGAGGGTCAACATCTCTTGCCCAAGGATGCGGAGCTCAGGTGGGTCTCCAGCAGTGCGTAAGGCCGCGCTGCTGTGCCCTCGAGCTCCTCCACAGAGGAGCAGCCACCCCAGGAAGTGCTGCAGGCTCTTCGGGGTGATATCAGAGGGTGACCTGGGCATGACCACCAGCTCAGAGGAAGCAAAGAGGCTGCTGCTAGTGAAAGAAGAAGTGAAGTGAGAGTGTGGTGTCTGTCTGGGCCTGGAGTGAAGGGAGCAGAGAGAAGCGAAGTGGGGGTGCAGGTGTGGGGCAAAGGGAGAGGCCACTCGCAGACACCTCCCGACTTCCCCTTCTTCCTGCGGAAGCAATAAGACAGCAGCGGAGGGAGCAGCGGAGACAGCAGCGGCAGCTTCACAGGTCAGCCCCCTCTGGGCCTCTCCCCACTCTCCCCTTGCCCAGTTCTCTATCCTTATCCACAGGCCCCTCAGTGAGCACTGGGCATACCCATGCCCAGATGGGCACAGGCGTGGCGACATCCTGGGTGAGCAAGCTGGGGACCCACCCTCCTTCCATTTCTGGTTGGCAGCTTCGCATCTGGGAGAATGTAGAGATCTATGCTTTTGGAAGGAGAGGTGACTTAAATTAAGATGCGGTTAGGCGGCCGGGCGCGGTGACTCAAGCCTGTAATCCCAGCACTTTGGGAGGCCGAGGCGGGTGGATCACGAGGTCAAGAGATCGAGACCATCCTGGTCAACATGGTGAAACCCCGTCTCTACTAAAAACACAAAAAATTAGCTGGGCATGGTGGTGCGTGCCTGTAATTCCAGCTACTCAGGAGGCTGAGGCAGGAGAATTGCCTGAACCCAGGAGGCGGAGGTTGCGGTGAGCTGAGATCGTGCCATTGCACTCCAGCCTGGGTGACAAGAGCGAAACTCCGTCTCAAAAAAAAAAAAAAAAAAAAAAAAAAAAAAAAAAAAAAGATGCGGTTAGGCATGGGGCTTGAGTCTTAGCTTCCCCAGGAGGTCTGGGTCAAGCGAAGGGAGGTTTCTTTTCTGGACCTCAATTTCTCATCTGCAAAATCGGGTGAGTCTGGGAACCTGCACCCTGGATGGCTGTCAGGGGCTCTGTAGAGGGCCTAGCACATAGATTGTGCTTGGCAATGGAGGAGGTGCAGTTCCTTTCAGAGCGACCTGGATTGGATCCTGGGGACAGCATGCCTCGGGGAAATGGCCCTGCTGCTGGCTTGGTCACAGATGTCCTGTTGGGCTCTAGTGTGGCTTCTCTTTCCCCACCTATGAAATGGGGTTACTAATAGCATCTCTTAGGGTTTTCTTTTTCTTTTCTTTTTTTTTTTTTTTGAGATGAAGTCTCATTCTGTTGCCTAGGCTGGAGTGCAGTGGCACAATCTCGGCTCACTGCAACCTCCACTTCCAAGGTTCAAGAGATTCTTCTGCCTTAGCCTCCCAAATAGCTGGGATTACAGGTGTGTGCCACCACGCCCAGCTAATTTTCATAATTTTAGTAGAGACGGAGATTCACCATGTTGGTCAGGTTGGTCTCGAACTCCTGACCTCAGCTGATCCATCTACCTCGGCCTCCCAAAGTGCTGGGATTACAGGTGTGAGCCACGATGCCCAACCCCTTAGGGCCTTTTTGCAGAGATCACAGGTTGATTGACTCCTCACCCAGGCCAGGGAGAGGCCAGAACAAGGGGCTCCAGACTGTGGTTGGCAGGGGCAGGTGAGGCTGTGTGAGGAGAATGGCTGGCTCAGCAGGCCCCTGTGCTGCTGGGGAGAGGTGGGCTTTGGGGGTGCATGGTCAGCTCTAGGGAAGATGACAGGGGTTCCCAAGGCTTGTGCTCAGAGATATTCCTGGCCAAGGACTTTGGTCAGAACCCTGGACCTGGCTCACGGCCTGATTCCCAGGAGAGGATCATAGAAATCGTTGTTTGAGTTTCTCTTTCTGGGAAATAGTTTTCCTTGGCCTCATTTTACAGATGAGAAAACCTGAGGCACAGAGAGGTCAAGTTCTTTTTTTTTTTTTTTTTTTTGAGACGGAGTTTTGCTCTTGTTACCTAGGCTGGAGTGCAATGGCACGATCTCGGCTCACCGCAGCCTCTGCCTCCTGGGCTCAGGCAATTCTCCTGCCTCAGCCTCCTAAGTAGCTGGGATTACAGGCACGCGCCACCACGCCCAGCTAGTTTTCTGTATTTTTAGTAGAGACGGGGTTTCACCATGTTGACCAGGATGGTCTTGATCTCTTGATCTCGTGATCCACCCGCCTCGGCCTCCCAAAGTGCTGGGATTACAGGTTTGAGCCACCGCGCCCGGCAGGGGTCAAGTTCTTTACCCAGTGTCACACAGCCCAGGCACAATACTGGAAATGGTGATCAAATTCTCATCTTCCAGAGGCTGCGTCCTGTTTTCCACAGTACCTCATCTCTCTATTGGCCTAAATAGAGTCTTTCTTGTCTACACAGTACCTCAGCTACCCAACCATCTTTGGGAGGCTGCAGCGTGTAGGGGGTAGTGCCCTGGACCCTGGAGGCCTGGGTTTGAGTCCCAGCTTGCCCACTGACCTACTGTGGAAGCCCAAGCAGACTCCTTCTGTGCAGTATTTAGTTTCCTCACCATCAGCTGGAACCATCCTGGAAGTCAGGTAAGGGATTGCTGTTTCCTAGGGGGCCCCAAATAACTATTGCAGGGTGGAAACTGAGGTGGCTGAGCGGGTGGGGCGCTGGTGCATGGTGACCTCTCCGGAGGGATGTGGAGGGGAATTTGGAGGTTGCAAGCAGAAGTGAAGACCGTGGTTTGCTCATGGGAAAACGGGTGGAAACCACAGCTTCTATCTGGAGTGCCTGGGGGAGGTGTCACTTCTGCTTTGGCCTCAATTTCCCCAGTTGTGTGGCGGGATCAGGCTCTTCTTCCCTTGGTGCCTGCCTGGAAGCAGTATGGGTAAGGACCTGGTCTTAGGGGCTACACTCTGCAGGTCAAATCCATCTGTCTGTCTGGGCCTCAGTTTCCCCAACAGTGCAGTGAAGGGGCAGATAGGTTGGCCCAAGGTCCTTCCTGTGCTATCAGGTCCTCCACTACTGGACCTGTTTTCGCTCTTACATGATTTCATTCAGTAGCTGCTTTTGTCTCCCCAGATCCTTTTGCTTTTTTTTTTTCTTTTGAGACAGAGTCTCACTCTGTCACCCAGGCTGGAGTGCAGTGGTGCGATCATGTCTCACTGCAGCCTTGACCTTCCAGGCCCAAGTCATCCTCAGCCTCCCAACTAGCTGGGTGCCACAGGCACATGCCACCGTGCTGGGCTCGGTTTTTTAATGTTTGCTTTTGTAGAGACGGGGGTCTTGGTATGTTGCTCTGGCTGGTCTCAGACTCCTGGGCTCAAGTGATCTTCCTGCCTCAGCCTCCTGAAGTGCTGTGATTAAGGCGTGAGCCACCGCCCCCGGCCCCCCCATATCCTTTCCCTTGTCTTTTCTCTGAGGTTCTGAGAGGGTAAGTGAACAGCATGCCAATACATAAGCAAGTAGCTGTGGAAAGAAGGTTGCCCAGGTGCCAAGGCAAGAGACTTGAAGGCACAAGCTGTCCCACTATAATAAATAACTGATGACTTAGTTTTAGCAATGATACCAAATATATTTAGAAACAATCACAAAATCAATTACATAATCAATCCTATTAAATCATGATCCTTTATTAATCTTTGCTTTAGTATTATAGCATATAATTATTTTAGTCTTATGGTATAGACAATCAGGTGAAATATAGTTAGGAACTGAAGGGAACTGTGAGACTGATCAGGAAGCGAGAGTGAGAGCCTTGTGGTAGCGCCAGTGCCCGGGAAGGTGCCCGTTACTTAGCAGGTCGTGAAGGGGAGTTTCCCTTTCGCTGGGGGAGTCCAGAGAACACTCTGCTCTGCCCAGCTCTTGAGGAAGGCCTGACATTAGCCAGGCCTGTCCGCAGACATCCAGGGGCTTACATGCCTCTCTGTGGTGCTGTGCTCCGACGGTCACCATCCTTGTCCACTTTCAGGTTCTGCTTTCTCCCCCGGTGCTCTTTGTAAGTTCTTAGAAGTCGTGAGAAGTAAGAATAGAGGAATCCTAAAGCCTTTGATCTTTCTGATAAGTGCATAGAGAGATGCTGCCCTAAGTGCCTCCCCTCCTTGCAGCGGCTCCCTGAGAGGGAGGGGCCCCCTGTACTGTTAGCATGTGATTTGCTTGACCCTATCCATCCTGTCAGATGATTCACTCTCCTTACCCTGTTCCCGCCCTGTATACAATAAATATCAGCGTGTCCAGGCATTCGGGGCCTCTACTGGACTCCACCCTTGGTAGTAGTGGTCCCCCGGGCCCGGGCCCGGCTGAGTTCTTCTCTTATCTCTGCGTCTTGTGTCTTTCTTTCCTGCGATCTGTCGTCTCTGCACGCAAAAGAACACCCACGAGACCCTGCAGGGCTAGACCCTGCAAATAGCCAAATGAATAAGAACCCAGCCTTCTGTGACCCACTGTGCTGGGTCTGGCTATGTTGCCTAGGCTGGTCTTGAAGTGCTGTGATTAAGGTGTGAGCCACCGCACCCGGCCCCCCAAATGATTGGCCTGGCCTCAGGTGATTCTTCTGCCTTAGCTTGGGATTACAGGTGCAAGCTATGGTGCCTAGCTGTACACATTTTCTTTTTAAAGAATACAGATAATTCTTAGTAGTGAAATGGCAATCTGTTGCATATTTTAACTTTTAATTTTGAAAAAATTATAAATTCACAGAAGGTTGCAAAAAAATAGTCCAGAAGGTTTTGTACACCCTTCACTTATTCTCCGGTAGTAACATCTTGCATGCCTATAGTATAATTTCAAAGCCAGGAAATTGTCTTTGGTACAGTTTACAGACTTCATTCTGATTTTGCTTGTTTTATACACACTCATTTACATATGCTGGTTCTTTAGTAAGTGTATTTTTTTTTTTTTTTTGAGATGAAGTCTCACTCGGTCGCCCAGGCTGGAGTGCAGTGGCACAATCTCCGCTCACAGCAATCTCCACCTCCTGGGTCCAAGCAATTCTCTTACCTCAGCCACTCAAGTAGCTGGGACCACAGGCACGTGCCACCACACCTGGCTAATTTTTAGTATTTTTAGTGGAGGCGGTGTTTCATGGTGTTAGCCAGGATGGTCTCAATCTCCTGACCTTGTGATCTGCCCGCCTCAACCTCCCAAAGTGTTGGGATTACAGGTGTGAGCCACTGCGCCTGGCCCCTGTTAAGTGCATTTTAACTTTATAAGAAAGTGCCAAACTGTTTTCCTTGCAATTTTATGACATGATAAAATAAAAGATTCCTGTAAACACCACCATGATCAAGACACACAACTGTTCCATTGCCACAAGGATCCCTTGTGGTAGGCCTTTAAAAAAAACACACTCCCCCTCCCTAACCCTTTGCAACCACTTATCTGTTCTCCATCTCTATCATTTTGTCATGTTGAGACTGTTACATAAATTGAATCCCACAGCATGCAACATTTTGAGATTGGCTTTTTGTTTTTTTTTGGCTCATAATAATTCCTTTAAGATCCATCCAAGTTGTGTGTGTCAATAGCATTTTTTTAGAAATTCATTTTTTTAACTGCAGAGAGTTGTATTTGAGAGTGTAAATGTATCCCCATTTAACCATTTTCACTTACTTTCAGGCCATTATGAATAAAGCTGCTATGACTGTTTATATACAGGTTTTAGTAGAACATGAGGCTTCCTTTCTCTGGGGTAAAAGCCCAAGAGTGCAATTATTGGGTCACATGACAGGTACATGTTTAGTTTTACAAGAAACTGGAGTGTAATTTATTGGAGTAAGAAATTGGAGTGTAATTTATTTATTCCTCTATAGATAGACATTTACATAACTTGCAACTTTTCTTTATTAACAATAGTATTCTAAATATTCTTGTCTGTATATCATCTTGGCTTGCCCTATTCTTTCCATAGGATAAATTCATAAGAGTGAGTTTCCTGGCTCAAAGGATATTCAAAACGTAAAGTTCGAATGTGTTGCTAAGCCATCCTCTTGCAGACGAGGCTCAGCTCTTAGGTGGAGAGTGCAGGAATGTGCCTGTTCCTACAGACTCGCTGGGTGCTATCAGATTCTAGATCTTTGCAAATCCAACAGTGGAAAAATGAAAATTCATGTTCTTAACTACTTTCCTCTGCCACTACCATCAAACAGGTGTTTTGACTTTTGTCCTTCTCCCTCTTTGAAACCTTGAGAGTTTTTGTTGACTTTCTTTCCTCTTTTTTTTTGAGCCGGAGTTTCACTCTTGTTACCCAGGCTGGAGTGCAATGGCCCGATCTCGGCTCACTGCAACCTCTCTCCTGGGTTCAGGCAATTCTCCTGCCTCAGCCTCCTGAGTAGCTGGGATTACAGGCACGTCCCACCATGCCCAGCTAATTTTTGTATTTTTTAGTAGAGACGGGGTTTCACCACGTTTACCAGGATAGTCTCGTTCTCTTGACCTCGTGATCCACCCGCCTCGGCCTCCCAAAGTGCTGGGATTATAGGCGTGAGCCACCGCGCCCGGCCAACTTCCTTTCTTCTAAGAGGAGGATCATCAGTTCCCTTGCCCTCCCTCCCGTATTTCCTCTTCTTCATCCTCTTAATATGTTTTTTGGTTGGATTTCTAAAGTCTTGTTTATAGAAGTATACATACAATAAAATTCACCTTTTTGGAGAGCAATTTGGTGCATTTTGACAAATGTGTACAGTCATGTATATATGTATATCACATTCAAAATATGGAATATTGCTGTCCCCTGAAAAGTTGTCTTGTGCCTTTTTGTAGTCAGTATCTTTTCCCTACTCCCTGGCAACTACCAATTTGTTCTCTGATGCTATAGTTTTGACTTAGTTCTAGATTCCACTTCCATGTTACATTCCCTCCAGAAGTATATGAGACTTCCAGCTGTTCTATATCCTCAACAACACTTTGTATTACCAGTCATTTTAATATTAGTCATTCTAGAAGGTGTGTAGGGATATCTCACTGTGGTTTGTATATGCATTTCTCTAATGACTAATGATATTACACATTTTCATGTGTTTATTTGCATCTATACCATCTTCTTCTTCTTTTTTTTTTTTTTAACATGTAGCTCTAGCTCTCTTGCCCAGGCTGGAATGCAATGGCATGACATCAGCTCACTGCAGCCTCCTCCTCCTGGATTGAAGCAATTTTCCTGCCTTAGCTTCCCAAGTAGCTAGGATTACAGGCACTTACTACCATGCCTGGCTAATTGTTATATTTTTAGTAGAGGAAGGAGTGTCATCACGTTGGTCAGGCTGGTTTCGAAATCCTAACCTCAGGTGATCCACCTGCCTTGGCCTCCCAAAGTGCTGGGATTACAGGCGTGAGCTCACCCATCTATACGCCTTCTTTGGTATAGTGATTGTTCAGATCTTTTTCCATCTTTATTGAGTTTTTGTCCTCTTACCGCTTGTGTAAGAGTTCTTCATATAGTCCAGATACATTTTTTTAAAAACATCAGATATGTGTTTGTAAATATTTTCTCAGTCTGTGAATTATCTTCTTATTTTCCTAACTATGACCTCCAAAAAGCAGCAGTTTTAATTCTGATGAAATTCAGTTTATCAGTTTTTTTTTTTTTTTTGGCCAT